CGTTGAAACGTTAACAAGAATAAGAATTTAATTAGGTATTAACCTGCATCAAATTGTAAATGAAACTTTGCGAACATGTCTTTGAAATAAATTGCTTCTATTAAAAATGTAAGCCTGCTTCTGAACCCTAACAATGAGAACTATTTCATCTGATAGTCCATCGCCCCATTAGCCTTACATTCATGATTGTCCGGTGTGATGATTGCTTTTCATGTTTGCCTCTTTCATTGTCTCATTAAACCGATGAGTTATGAGGTATAATGTCACAATCCCAATAGGCGTATGCATGCCAAATTGTCGGATGATAACAGAAGAATAACGTCAGGAGAAGTAAATAATTCTATAATTACAGATTTTAGATGTATGGCCTGCGACTTGGGCTTTGCATAATTACCAAGATAAAGTTACAATGGCGAATTAAATTACTGCGAATTTAGCAGATATTATCCATGATCTAAGTAAATAAATCTATCGCGTTATAAAGTTACTTTTCATTAAATGAATTTACTGCTAGGATTACAAAAATTCAGCTGGCTGATGCGTTTTCACCATATGTGAGGCTTAATCTATTTACAAAAGTAAACATTATCTCCACGTCATTCATCGCCGACAGATAACAATTCGTTCTATAGTAAGAATCGTTTACTTCATTGAAGACGCACAAGTAGTAATCAATACGATACGACACACATCTACGTATTCGATCAGTTAAGGATCCCACTAAGTTTCAATGGATGGCTGTCGGTGTACTTTACGCATGGAAGGCAAGTCTGATAAGTCTTTGTTCAAATTCCGGCACAAAAGAAGTTTTCTGTGGAAGAAATAACAGCATGTCGTTCAGTCATCCAGCTGCATATGAAACACTAATGTAAAGATTATCAGCTAACATCAGCAATTTGTAGTGATGAAATGATTTTTTTACTCGTGAAAGACCCATATGCTTTTAATAGTAGTGCAGGAAAATATAAATCCTATCAGAATTACTGTATGCTATATCGAATAAAAACATTACCAAACACTGAGTTAATCCTTTCCAACTAGTATCGTACGACGATTACGATTATGATTAAAATATTTATCACCTGATTGAATGTACACCCAAAGCGTCGTCAATGTCGATCAATTTGAAGTGTGATTGATGTTTTTATATGGTGGCTTAGTGTTAATATAGTATAGTATACTTGGTTGTAATCAAGAGGAATTTGGTAACAAGGAAGACAGCTAAAAATCGGTCTGTTATTTTGACGTTCTCTAAACGTTACTAAACATGCTACTAAAACAACCTGAGAAATGCTTGAGCATTTGACATTCCAATGATTGTCTATAAAAAATACCTGGCTATTGCATCGTTTTTTGACACTTTCACTTTTTAACACTTTCATTTTTACCTGTAACGCTGTGGGATGGAAAACTGTGATACAACCAAATAACTACAGATGTGCTACTGACAATCTGTTGGACATGATGTAATTAGAAAACTAAAGCATAGATAATAACATCGAAAAGCAGGTTTATTGTACATTGCCAGGAAAAAAAAACTATTCACAACACAAAAACACTTCAGCGTAACACCACCTACAGATTTGCCCAGAAGGACATATTTACTAAATTATATTCGGTCTTATTAGCATACCGACATAGCATGCGTCCTCGACAAATTATCAACGTACTGAGTTGGACATATCTATTGTGGTACATATTATTCGGCATTTGCAACAATTTTAACACTCAAACAGAAACGCTACATCTACATAAACTGCTTCTTGAGTAATTTCAATATTGTGTGTTGCATGTGATATCGATACTGTACTCTCCAATTACAATTTTAAAAGTGATTGCTGCTAGGGCAAAGTGCGCAACAAGATCTATCCCATCTTCATCTTCAATTGTTGTGTATCTGTTTAGAGTGTGCTCAGTATCCCCGTCTTTAAGAGCAGATACGAAAATAACCCAACTTCCATCCAGATTTCCATCATTTATTTGTTTGGTGAATGTAAGCCTGAAGAAATAAAATTGCTTACGTGCATGTTCAACTGTCAGACTAATGAGGTGTTCATGGTTGACATTATTTTTCGATGCGGATGCTCCATATGTGATAATAGTAAGAGTACACTGACACCAGGTATATGAGAAAGACCTTCCAAATACCGCACTGAAATTCCATTTTTGCCAACTGTTGTAATTATTTTCGACATTCAAAGTCAGATATTATTTGTTTATCAGCTGAAGTCGTATACATATTACTCGTACTACAAGGAAGGGAGGAGAATGAACATCGACCACTATGCTAAGGTATTTACTATCTTAATATTTTGATTATAACTGGTTATCGGATCTGGATCCTAATCTTATTGGCGTTCTTGTTTTCATGAAAAAAAGATTGCCTACTAGCAAATAATCTATTGCGAGAGATCGTCCACAATGGTTTGTTATATAGGCTGTATTATGTTTACATTGTTCCTAGACGCATGCGCATATGAGGCGTTGTCTTATACTGTCACTATTTTACTCAGATCAACATACGTTACTGTTCTTCCAGTGATTCAAGCGTTGTATTGCATCTCTCCGTATAACACACAGCTACTCATGATTCTGGCGGAATATGTCCAGTGATAGAAGATAATTGAGTGATGTATATTCGACAAACGCTGTTGCTTAGAAATGTATATAATGTTAGTGTTGGTCGCCAATGTATAACATAATGGATAGGTTGTGTTCATATGGGTGATTTTATTTATATTTAAGGGGATACAGGTAATATTATTCACATGACAAAGACATATAAAACCACCAGGCAACACATATTATTAATAATAATATTATGTATCGCAATTGTGAAATACGTTAGATGCGAGAAAAGCGCCCACCCCACTGATATGTGTGGGAGGCGTGGGCAAGCGGTCAACTCGATTGACTATGTGGGTGATGTAGCCCGGTTTGTTTCCATGCGACGAATATGTGGTCACAAAGCGAATTGCAGTATCTTTGACCAGATTATACGTGCTTTGTTAATTGATATTTATTTTACTCAAAAACGAAACTGTTATTGTTGAGAAGAATGCATCAGATATGTGGAGCGCAAACAGCTCGTTCACGCGATCTACCACGCATATAAACATTGATCTTAACAAACCGGGGCTTGCGAGTATAGCATTGGTACGGGGTCGGTGTAGTATCTGTACAATTTCGATTTATGTGAGTTGATTTTATTTATTTATTTATTTATTTTTTTATTTTTTTATTTATTTATTTATTTATTTATTTATTTATTTATTTATTTATTTATTTATTTATTTATTTGTTTGTTTGTTTGTTTGTTTGTTTGTTTATTTATTTATTTATTTATTTATTTATTTATTTATTTATTTATTTATTTATTTATTTATTTATTTATTTATTTATTTATTTATAATAGTAACCGAAGTAAGTATAATTCATACTTCGGTGTTGACATTCGATAATAGAAAGTATAAACACAATTCATTAAATTTCGACGTATTTCCACATAACTGATTTGTGAAGAGAGTAACAAATCTGCTATATTGCTTACAAATCATACTTTTCATGACTGCATTACAGTTTTGCGAAAAGTGAAAAGCTTTGAGCGGTTATTCAGTGTGGGCTTTCTCATTCCATGAACGTAGACATGTGAGACAGTTTAACTCTATCAATGTAACATACGACGAGTACGTATACAGTGTACCATAGAATTACAGTACTACTAATAATAATAGCACAAGTAGTGAAGACAAAACATGCCAACCACCTATTGTAAGTGCAATATTATTTGTATGTATTAATACACTTGTTTCCATTGAAGTGGATTTGACTGCTGTCATTAACACTAGAATAGGCTAATTCAATTGCACAACTATTTACCAATTTGCCATGCTACATGAATCTCCAAAATACGTTACATAAGTCAAATTGAACTGTTATTCATCCATTAATAAGAAGAAAATAATGCGAATCGCAATGTTCAAAGAGCAGAGAATCAACGTATTCATATTCGAACATTTGATTATGGACGTATTAAATTGGAAATTGAAAAACAAAACAAAAAACAATTTGATTATGTCGTGAAATAGTAAGCGACATTGTTCGATATAGAATCGACTAACGTGGTATACATTCCGAATTTCCAAATTTGGGTGTTGTTTTTCCCGGGAAATAGTTAATTATGCACGCATAAGACGGCACGCAAACAGAAAAAGTTTGAAAGTTTTTAAAGATATAGATAGTTATATAATATAATAAATTTCGGATATATTTCAAATTGTTCATACTAGTCAAGCTTTTGAGAGATGGCACATAGTTGTAAACACTATTTGTAAAGCAATGGAATGTAAACTGCACGGAATATCTAAAGACATGTTGAATTAAGCTGGATGCAACTGCAACGTATATCAAATAAATGAACAATGGGTACTTTAATAAACGGCAACTCACAAATAACTTTGATATGAGCCACTGTAAGGCGGGAATGTAATTAGCCACCAAATTAAACAGGACACAGTTTTTTTTTAAAAAAATTAGCGACATAACCACATAAAAGTGACAAAATACACGTTTTATCCTCAGTTTCACTCGCAGATAACATGGCATTTCTGGAAAAATGAATCTCAGAAATTAGAACGAATATATATTGCAAAGGTATCCTGTTTCACGTGTCAGACGAGTTGAACACAAGTGAATCGTATCACTTACCTGCATTGTGGAACAATAATTAGGACGGAGAATACTTGAGTAACATCTATACAACAGAAGGTTTTATAACAGGGGTTTCATTATCAGTACATCCGTGGTGCAATAAAACAGCAGCTTCATCAGCATACACAAAACTAAACTACGTCTATGTCTTTTCAATGTATTCGTTTACAGCATGAGCAAAAAAACGTTACTTTGGCTTATGCGCGTATCATTCACCAAATTAATTAACAAACTGAAGCGTTTAGAGTGTCTACAAAAAGCATGTGGTGGGGTACGATCATGTTAGCTGTTCAGAGATGCGTCTGTTTGGTGTCAGTTCTGTAACTAACACTTGTCTCCATGCCGACGTTCGTAGACTCTCCTGCAGTCATCCTAGTCGCACCGCGGGGACCAGCCAACTTATACGGGCTACACATGAACGCTTTCTTAAATGCCCGTCTGTAGTTCGAACTCATGGTGGTGTAAATGAGGGGATTGACTGCAGAGTTGACTTCAAGGAAATAGTTACTAACATTCAACAGACATGCCAGGTTGATGTCGAGTTGTATCCACGGATGCTCGGCAATCATCACAGTGAAGATAGCGTTTGTAACAGATGGTAACATGCAGAGAAAATAGACTAAGGCGGTAGCTAAGCATACACGTACAATCTGCTTCTCTTTATTTCTTACAGCCTGGGAGGACTGCTTAACCTGGCGTATGATGAGTATATACACGACCAGTACCAGCAGCATTAGAGTAAACAGAGATACGATGTAAAAGATTTGACCAGGTAGTGACCTGATGGCGCTTGGCGAGAAGCAATCATAAAAAGCTTCAGCTGTAACCGCGGTCGATACAAACCATATTAAAAATATCATGAAAGCCACAAACATTTTTTTGTGAATAACCCCATTTCGATATGTCAGTGGTCGGCACAGTGCAAGAAAACGTTCGATACTAAGCATGGTCACGGTAAACATTGAAACGTATTGGCTGATGCGGACGATGAAAAACAACATACATCGTACAACCTGGTTGGTTATATTACCACCGAAAACGTACGTGAACCAAAATACCTGGTGAATTAGTAGATGAAGAAGGTCAGCTATGGCTAGATTCACCAAGTACGCATTGGGAATTATTCTCATAGACGCCACGCGGAACACAACGAACATAAACGCCAAGTTGCCGAGAATTCCCGCTCCGCAGATGACAATGCCGATTGTATACTGTGCTGTAGGTTGGAGCGAACATCCGTCGTTCTCAGTTGTCGAGCTATTCTCCATGTCGGCACGTTGTTCAATAGCGAAGGAGGCTCAGATGCTAACTTCGAGAGACGAATTTCTGATTTAGGAGGTGCACAGACTATTGTAACGGCGACGATATAGCAACGATGTATCTCACGAGCACTCCGAGATAGGTAATTAATGCAGCAAGCACGTTAGAAGCTCTGCGGTGTAACGGGATATTGAAACACGGCAAGGTTATTGTCACTATGTATTGCTGTTCTTGACGCAGCGAACATGGATGTGTCCACTCTCAGGCTTATGTACAACTCTAAAGGAGTTAATCGTGCACGCCCGGTCGTCTACACGTGTCATCAAACCACACGTAAACTCAACACGTTACACCACAGATGTATAAATGTATGCAACAAAGCACTGAACAAAACGGCGTCGGAGAATACAAAATATTGCCTTTAGGATGTAAAGCTACCGCAGCTCGGCGTATCGTTGAATGAAACACTCGCAAATTGGGCAAGACGGAAACTAATTGTTAACGCAGTAACGCGATGCGTTAGATACGATATCATGCGAACTAAAGCCGTCGTGAGGCAGACAGAAAGGCTGCACTCGGCGAATAATGTGCTTATTTGGTAGTCGTGAACAACGCCCCCTATAGCTAAATATATGGTAGTCACAAAACAACGCTAACTCGACTTGTCGTTTAGTCATTAGCATATCCATACTAAATGAGGCAGCACACCAAATAAGCAACGATGATTATGCTCTTAACGTTACGATGAGTTGGATAATTCGCCGGTAAATAAATTGAAAATAGTGAACATGATATTGATCCTGAAGTTAAATAAATAATAATGAAATTCATAAAAAGCCTATCTGTCAACTAGATCAATCAGATATACACCACGGGATTGTTATTAGCTGGTCTCTCCGGAACAATACATATAGTTGCATTACTTGGGATGAAGCTGCAAGTAATTCAGTTTTTTTCCCATTGGGATGACAAATCCTATTCGCGCTTTTAATCTACTGACATCAGAATGAATCTTTCGCTTTCATATATCAAGTGTCACTGTTGGCGTGATTTCAATTTAACTTTAATGTATGATGCTTCAATACTTCAATAAGGACACAATCATTTTTTTTTCAGTTCACCATATTTAGTTTGTGGGTGCTGTTATATCTTGTATGTACCTATGTATGTACGTATATACACAACGCTTAGCTCAGCCTGACATTCAAATACTTGAAGATTACACTTTTTCAAGTTAATATGCACTGGATGTAAATAATCAACAGCGAAATGTATTGGGAATGACAGCACGCGCAGCAGATAACGGCGACATGGCTTTGCGGAATTGGATTTAATAAATATGTGCACATAGGACTTGAATATATAAGATAACGTTACTGTGGCAATGTCATGGGAGAGTACACTCCCACTCATGAAATGTTAATCCACGCTTACATTGTTAAAAGGGTTGATTAGTAGAAAATAATAACAAACGGTCATTTATTGTAACAAAATGTTATCAGTTAATTGAAATATCATGGCTAACAAAAAGCTGTCGTTTGAAAATACTGCAGATGAATGTAAACAAAGCTGCGATGATATCTTATTACCAATAAAACCTTTTAACATCAACATATGAGCATATTAAGCCAATGGTTTAGCTGAGCAGCATTTTACTATATTCTGATCGACGGGGATATAAAGCGTTTCTGCGTTGACTCGTTGCACGCATTTAGCTGGTTTTCCACAAATCCTAGTTTGGTGTTTTTACCTGATCAATTTCTGGTTGAACATACAATGCATACGTTATTTTATCATTTATTCACATTCACAAATTATTATATACCTTGTTAATATAAAGTGCAGTGCTTCTGTTTACCACCAATTAACTATATATGATGCCAAAAACATACACTATTCTGTCACTTATATCTTATAGTGTCGATCTTCATTACAAATATTTGTTTATAAACTCTATCAAGTGACTACAAAATATGGAAATTGTGATATTATGTTTTTAGGTTGGAATCGAAAGAATACACCATAGAAAGTTTTTTTCAATTGATTTGGTGTACTATATGAGTCATTATTTTCAAGGCCTGAAAATTACCCAAGCGTGTTTATTTGTATATGCCCATAAACCCGTTGAAAAAAAAAATATACATATGATACACAAACATATCATTGTAAAACTCTCTATATCATAAACCCAGCAAGGCACTTTACAAACGTAGCACACAATATACTTTGAAACTGTCGCGAGATTCAATTATGTTCGTGATGGTAAGTGTGGTGTAGTATTATGAGCAAAAAAATATTGTGACAACATGTCAATGTACATTACGCAAAGCAGGCAAATGTGTTGCATTGTTCGCACATGGGAGATGTATTATCCGCTGATTCACACCTTAATGGTCATTACACGATGGCCTTGATTCTATAAAGTACGCACCGCGGAAGAACATTTCCTCTCAGTTTCCACAATTTAAATTCCGAACGCCTAGGCGTAAATCGAGTCCCATAAATATAAAAACATTCAAACGCGTTGTATAATAATTCCGGGCAAATTATTTTTGAAATGAATTCGCCATTGCCTCAATGTTGATACAAATAATAGACAAATTTGAAATGTTCTCTCAAATGTTTTCATTTTTAATGGAAGTCTTTTTGCTTGATTCAAAATGCATCCGTTAAATTGACTACGCCGTTAATAACTGATAGAAGTTAACAATTCGGTCACTATTTGCAAAGCGACGAAATGTGTCGTCTTTCATCAATTATTAACGAATGCCAATTCAATTTCGATCTATTCGTGTTTAAAAGCATTGTTTGAAATGAAACGGTGCAGTAAAACGTAACAATAAAATATTCATGCTGCCAGGTGTTGATATCCAGAATCGAGAAGCGACCAGACAGCTGTAATGAAACGTGCGGCTTGTTCATGGTAGTCCGTGCGCTAAGGAGCACTAACTCTATTCAAATATTTGTACATTCTCTCAATGTACATTCCACGTACTAAAAGTACATACGATGTAACGATGATTGAATGACAAATAGCGCAGGTTATTTCAAGCTTTATCGTAAAGCTATAAGCTCCAGTGTGTTTTTCTCATGTCAATTTACAAACTCAATTACATTGGCGATTGCTGAATTAAATTGTGACACTATCTCCGATGATATGTCGTCATCATTGCGAACGAACTCTTATGACGCTGATACGAAGACGGGTGGTTTCAACCACTAATTGAGTCCTATCTTCCTGAACAGAGTATTTCTCACTGTAACACATGTATGGATGATCTAGTAACCTGCACCTAGCAACACGCACGAATCCTACACTATCGTGCACCTGTGTCGTAAATACATCTATACCAACTCTCATTTTCACACTTAGAAAAAATGAAAGTAAATTACAGTATATTTGACATCAGCGTATATGGCCGTAAACACGCTATTACTTTATATGAGCAAATGTCGTGGACCTTTCCATTCTATCTGTTACACATCCTGTCAACTTACTGTTATCACTCCCTTCAATCTTTATAGCCTAGGTTTTATTGCAGTAACTTTCTAATAAAATGTGTATTTTATATCATAGAGACATCATTTGGTAGTGATTGGAACCTTTAATCTATAATTACGGCGATGTAGTTGCCGGGACAGCAATATGTCTAATACCATATTGTATGAGACATGCGATATTTTGTGCCGTCAATCTGTTTGAAGGTTTATAGTAAGCAATCATGCTATGACGTACACGGACCTTGGTCAATAAGAACACCCTAAATTGAAAAAAAAGTAAGTAGTCTGGAATGCAAAAGTGATTTTCCACTAAAACCTTGATCGATGTCTAACCCATCAAATGGTTTTAATAGTAAATCAATTACATGTTCTTCTGTTTCACTCCGTCTCAATGACAACTAATTCAATCGCCATGGAAACTAGTATAATGACATGTATTGAACCCCTGATGCACGTATTCAGCATATGTGGTCTTAATTAATCTAAACTATATACAACCGACTGATTCAGTGAGTAAGAAATTCGTCGCAAGTGATACTTAACATGGATCAATTAAAAAACGGCAGCTGGGCCAACAATAACTATCACATTCTCCAATAACTAGTCCATATTTTACGTAGGCCTCGTTGTACAAAACAGTGCCAAGCCATTAATCAAATCTTAACAACGCTCTTAGTACGTCTTTGTAAATTAAATTGTCCCGAAGGCAGACTTTTAAAATGACAGTCGATCAATGATCAATAAAACACACACACACATAATTTGCAGTATGGACGCATTCAGACAACTATTATCAGAAACGAATCAGAGACTTTTCAAACTAACAAAACAATCCTCTCCTTGTTTCACTTACTCATAATATTTAATGCTCGATGTATCATTGTGTTATTTTTTTCAGATTAACTGTAGAATTGTACATTTGGGCATGTATGACTAGTAGTTACGTACGTGTTGACTTCTTTATTTCTATCGCACAACATCAAGCGAAATACTGAAACTGTTGACTCGTTGATACGAAGATAAATTAAGCTGTCGCAGTTTCCTAGGGCACCCGACATTAAATGCGCATTTCATATGCCAGGGTAATTGGTGTTTATTATTGTATTCACAGGTTGCCATGGCCAACGGTGAACAAATTAGGTAATAGACTATTTTATTTGTGGTGGTATGCCTAATACAACAACGGTTTCGTAGTTTGACGCCACCAATCAGCCTATTATATACCAAAACAAAATGTTAAAAAAACACAATTATCATTGCATTACGGCAAGGAAATATTGAATTATTGATATAGAAATTATGAAATACACAAGTACATATACAATATGTAATTAGTTTGCTTACGTCGAAATGATACATTCTTTTATTTTTATTTTATTTTTTTAAATATTTTTGTAGTTGGGCTTCATTGTAATTAGATCGCGATTGTATGACATATTGCCTACATGATCTAGAAATCTATGTAAAATGAACTATGCACAATCCTTAGTATGATCGTGTCATTTTC